GCTTCGGAGTACGGCAGATTTGTTTGATGCAGGCAGGTAGTTGTGGGGCACAGCTGTGCCAGGGTCGTTTTTCTTTGTGGATTCGTTACCCCTTACCCTCTTTCTTGTTCCTGATGCTATGGAGGGTGGCTGGGGCTGGTTTGGGGAGGGGTGTGTGTATGTTTCGCCTCCGTCATTGACGTGCCTGCCCTAATTGACGTGCCTGCCCTAATTGACGTGCCTGCCCTAATTGACGTGCCTGCCCTAATTGACGTGCCTGCCCTAATTGACGTGCCTGCCCTAATTCTCATGTTCCCATCCACGTGCTGCACGTGCAGCAGGCCTCGGACGATGGGGATGACGTCCAGCCGGGAATGGAGGTAAGATGGGGAGGAGGGTCAGGGCTCTTATGTGTTTTACGTGGGGCATCAAAACGCTGTCGTACTCCGATATGGCTATCGGAGTACGGCAGATTTGTTTGATGCAGGCAGGTAGTTGTGGGGCACAGCTGTGCCAGGGTCGTTTTTCTTTGTGGATTCGTTACCCCTTGCCCTCTTTCTTGTTCCTGATGCTATGGAGGGTGGCTGGGGCTGGTTTGGGGAGGGGGGCATGTATGTTTCGCCTCCGTCATTGACGTGCCTGCCCTAATTGACGTGCCTGCCCGAATTGACGTGCCTGCCCGAATTCTCATGTTCCCATCCACGTGCTGCACGTGCAGCAGGCCTCGGACGATGGGCCGACGTCCAGCCGGGAATGGAGGTAAGATGGGGGGGAGGGTCAGGGCTCTTATGTGTTTTACGTGGGGCATCAAAATGCTGTCGTACTCCGATATGGCTATCGGAGTACGGCAGATTTGTTTGATGCAGGCAGGTAGTTGTGGGGCACAGCTGTGCCAGGGTCGTTTTTCTTTGTGGATTCGTTACCCCTTGCCCTTTTTCTTGTTCCTGATGCTATGGAGGGTGGCTGGGGCTGGTTGGGGGAGGGGTGTGTGTATGTTTCGCCTCCGTCATTGACGTGCCTGCCCTAATTGACGTGCCTGCC